AGTCTTCTATCATTTAAAGATCTCAAATTTGTTGGCTTAAAATCTCACAACTGTCATGTCTTAATGCAACAACTACTACCGGTGGCTATTCGTGGGACATTGCCTAACAATGTTAGGAAGACTATAACTAGGTTGTGCTTATTTTTCAATCCAATTTAATGTAAATCCATTGATCCATTAAAGTTATACGATTTGGAAAATGAGGTTGCAGTTATCTTGTGCAAATTAGAGATGTATTTTCCTCCTTCATTTTTTGACATTATGGTTCACTTGATTGTTCATATAGTAAAGGAGATTAGATATTGTGGTCCAATTTTTTATGGTGGATGTATCCAATAGAGCGATACATGACGATCCTAAAAGTGTATACAAAAAACCCACACCGTCCAGAAGCATCGATTATTGAGAGGTACATTGCAGAAGAAGCAATTGAGTTTTGTTCTACCTATTTGTCAGGAGTGGATGCTATAGGGATTACCATGTCTCGTCATGATGGAAGATGTGAGGGTGTGGGTACACAAGGTTTAAAGGTAAAGATCTTAAGTATTGATGTGGTTGTTCAAGCGCATTTGTATATAATGAATAACACGGATGAAGTTCAACCTTACTTATCTGCTCACAAAAGCATCATAAAGAAAAAGTACCTCAAGATGAATGAAAAAGGGTTGTTAAAAGAGCATATTAAGAGTTTCTCTGAGTGGTTTAAAGAAAAAGTTTCTAATGGTGATAGTGCTTCTAATACAATTAAGTGGTTGTCCTATGAGTCTAAATGTAACATAATAACTTGGAGTGAATATGATATTAATAAAACTTCCTTTTATACAAAGTCAAAAGATGACTGTAGTACCATGCAAAATAGTGGAGTTATGATTGTGGCCGAGTCCATGCACTTCTCTAGTACTAAAGATAAAAATCCGGTTATGGAATCTACACCCTACTTTGGGGTGATTGAAGAGATTTGGGAAGTTAATTATGTTGTGTTTAAAGTTCTTGTATTTAGATGCAAATGGATTGATATCAACAGTGGTGTAAGAATCGATGAATTTGGAGTTACACTGGTTGATCTTAGCAAGTTAGCTTATGAGAACTAACCTTTCATCATGGCATCTCAAGCAAAACAAGTGTTTTATGTCACAAATCCTTCTAATAAAATGTGGTCAGTGGTTTTACAAGGAAAGGTGCATGATAGTGATGAAAATCAAGATGCGAATCTTGATATTTATGAAACTCATCCTTTCTCAACAAATGTGCCTACCTCCATTGAAGAAAATGAAGGGGATGATGTGCATGTTGCTCGCATAGATCATGAAGAAGGGATATGGGAGGACTAGTAAGGTTTTTCTTTATAAGTTAGGACTAGTAAGGACTGGTAACTTTTTCAGTTTAGAATAGGAAAAAAGTCGAAAGGGTATGGAAAATGTGGCTAGGAATGTATACCCACGCGTATTATCTTGTGGAGGGTATCAATTGCTTAAGGAGATAATTATGAATGAAAGGAGATCATCGACAGATGATTCCACATTAGATGATACTAGTAGTCTATGTCCATCATCATGCCATGAGTTATGGAAGAGAGCACGACAAAAGAATGGGGGAGAATGCACATCAAAGTCTACACAAGCTGTTGCTGAGAAAATTGTAAGTAAATTTTGAAAAATACTTCAAGTATCAATATATTTGTGATTGATAAAAAACTATTGAAATTAGTTGTGGTTATTGTATTTTTTAGGATTCTCTAGTTGAAGAAGCTGGAAAAGGTACCTTTGTTTCGAATGGACATAATGATATCTAAACAGCAACCATTGGAATATATGAGCGTGATAGTCGTGTTCATGGTTTTAGAAAACACCATAAACAAAGAACTTACTAAGGAAGGAAGTATTCACATCAAGGATAACATATAAATGTAAATGAACAACTTGCACAATTTTCATCTGAATTAGAAGCAAGAATTAGAGCTGATTTTAATCAAAAGTTGGTTGAAGAGCGTAAGGCGTTGCAACAATCTTTAATGGAGACACTTAGGTCTATCGGTTTATCGTAAAGCATATATAGTAATAAATGCATTGAAAAATGGAAGTTATCGATGGAAGCAGAAAAGGAAGTTATTCAACTGCAAAAGGAAGCACAAAAGACCTGGAAGTTTACAATGTTCAGAAATTGTTACTCATGGTTCTGAAAATGGCTGACACACATTTGAAAATGGAATTAAGTCATTGTGTGAGTGTCACTAATTTCTATATGTCAACTAAGTGTATCAGAGAGTTTTTGGTAGATTTTCATTGGCTTGACGTGCCTACTCCGCAAGTTTGGTGCACGTAAGTACATTTTCTTTTTATTACTGTCAATATCTATTAATATGTTATATCTATTATCACTTTAATTCTAATATTTATTTTAAAATTATTCAGGTATATTCATTGTGTATGTATTGATAATTCCACATCATAAGTATATGGATTTATGGATCCTGTTAGGTGTATGTATGTTGATAATGTGTCAAAATCTAAAGCAGGTGTTAAAAGATACATACTAGATAAGTTACGTGACGAAAACAGAATGTGTCACTTACTACCATTAGTTCATGGGTAAGTTTTTTATGAAAATGTGTTTTCTATTTTTTAATTTTGATAACATAGATATTTTATGTGACTTTTGTGTTTTCACACACACGTACATATCTCATTGACAATTAATAGTTATTTGTCCAAGAGACAATATTGTGGTCGTCTTTTGTTCACTTCATCGGGAAATTGATCAAATCACGAAGAAAATTATTACAAAGTAAGTTTGTCTTTTATGTGACTTTTGTTAAAATATATTATATATCTTATATACATAAATTTTTACAAAAGTGATTTCATATTTTATTTGGCTTTATATAGATTTTTTTTCTTCTGAATTTGTGCTTTTGGAGTTCCTCAAATGGAAAATGTAAATAGAAAAAAGGTTACATGGCTTCATCCCAGTGTAAGCGTGATATAAATTATAATTCTATATTTAATTTAATGATAAGTATTCACTAATTATATCATTCATTTGTAGACAAGGTTACACCATAAATCTAATGATTATGGATACTATGTGATAAAAAATATGTTGGATATTGTCTCTGCCAAAATAACCGAGTCATGGTTGTAGATAATAAAAATAATTATGTTATTTATTTTGCATTTTGCAACTTAATGTGAATTTTCAAAGAATAACTCAAGTGTTCCGTCAAGTAGTAGTAAAGCAGAAATTCAGGGGGCTTTCAAGATTCAGTTGAGAATGTTTTGAGTTTTAGGTTTCTTCAAGATCCCAAATCATCTTTTCATTATTGTGACTTCAAAGTAAGAATATTGAAACTCCCCATTTATTGTTCTCGAGCTTGTCAAGGTGTTCTCATATTCTTTAAGTTTTATTATCTTCAAGGCTCTCCCCAAGAGATTTGCTTTAAAATCTTTAGTTATCAAATTAAGGTGTCTTTGTGGATTTAATTTCAAAATATGAATCGCTTCACAAGAGATGATGTTATGGGCACATGTAATTATCGAAGCACCGTTATTACTTGTTCCTCCAATTACAAGTTAACTTGGATTTGGAAAATTGAGTAATAGGTTCATTCAAGAAACAAGTTGAGTGAGATTGAAGTGTGCTAGGGTTCAAAGATAGTCAAAGTGAATTAAAGTCTTTAAGCATTTGATTTGATAAAAGGATTAATTCAAGTGGGAGATTTATTTGGATTACTTTGAAAACAAGTTGCAAAATATAAGGCTTACATCACTATGTTCCGTATTCCATTCAAATATAATTTGTCATCATTCAACATTATTTTATATGTTCACCAATACAAATATCATTGTCCATCTGTTAAGTTCAAATTCTAAATCTTATTTTCAAAATGCCCAACTGCAAAGTTCTGTCCCACCTGCCATGCCTTGTCTTTAAGCCCAAAACGTGACATCCAAAGGACTGGGCTTTAAAGCTGCTTGTGCTAGAAGCTGCTTATTTGAAGAAACATGTCACGTAAAAAGGAAGATTGGAAACAAATATTGGAGAATACATTGCATAATATATCTGCGGAATAAGACTGACTGATATGAGAATAAGTTGACAAAATTTGAAAAAATGAGGGATAATCAGAAAAGTAATAAAAAACCCTGAGGAAAATCATAATTTACCTCTCAATCCCGAGTCAATCTTCACCCTCCATTCATTGTAATCAATTTTCGATCCAAAGGCTCTGAGGCATTCAACCTATAATAAACTTTGTTAAGCTTCAACTACCTGCAAATGAGATGGAAATTTCACATAAGAAACTCAAAACAGAATGAGATTCAAGGCTGACCATCGATTTCCCTAACCGAGTTTTCAATCTGACGGCTCGGTTATGCTAATCTCTAACAGATATTAGAGAGGTATATAACAAAGTTCTAATTGAAATCAGAAGGGGGAGTGAAACGAAAATAAATAAATAAATCAGAAATAATTACAACAAGTTGAACTGATTTTTCAATTGGAATTGATAACTGCCCTATAACTGTCATAACAGAAATCTCAGCGATTTTTTTCTAACGGATTTATAACAGGATAACTGATCCATAACCAAATCAATTTGGGCCACTCATCCATAACAGATATATAAAAGATTCTTAACAGAAAGAGGAGGAGGATTGAATATACAGAAAAAGAAAAAAGTTGAGAGAATCGCTCACCTCTGAATCTCTCTGAGGTTTGCAGAGGAACACCCATCTTCATCTGGAACCCTCACTCTCTCTTCCATCTGGAACCATCACCCTCTCTTCCACACTACATTTTAAACTATCTTCACTTTCTTCATCCTCTCATCTTACTCCTCTTCAATCTTCATCTTCCCTGATCTTCATACCCCACTTCATCACTCCACAACCTTCACACAATCACTCTGATCACAGAACTTCATCTTCAACTTAACCACTTTTCTCCGCACCACCTTCTTCATCCCTCTCTGAATCCCACAACCTCCATCACCACCTTCATCAATTATTCAACCTTTCTCTCTGCAAATGAGCAATAACAACAATATCACTGCACAACCGCAACTTCAAATAACAACGAGAAATGCAAAGAATGAAGCAACGACAAAAGAGTTCAGAAGCAAAGAAGAAAAAAAGAAAACTGAAGATTAATGGATGCTTAGTATTACCCGTGAATTCTAGTTCCTCTTGTTTTCTCTCCATTTCCGAGGCACATTCGTTACAACGACGACCGAGGCAAATCTCTGTTCCATAGGTAATTCGCCTCTCCTTCATCTTGTAATTTCAAGATGTTACGAATTATGTTTCATCTGGTACGGTCCTCTATCGCCGTATATCTCGGAATTAGGGGCGAAATAGAGCGTAAGGTGTTGCTTCGATATGACTGAATCGAAATTGGGGAAGATGATGAGAGAAAGGTTGCGTCGAAATTGCGAATTGACGAAGGCGAACTGAATCAGAAGCTAGGAGAAGGCGAAGTCGTGATAGAGGCACAATGTTGTTGAATCATGGACGAAGATTGAGACAGACGATTTGTGGTGAACAAGATCAGAGCAGATCGACACAGAAGAGAAGCTAAAAGAGCGTTGCGACGCCGTGGATATGAGAGGGAGGATATCCTTCTGTTCACGAGAAGTTGAAGGGTCATAACCAAACCCTAAAGTTCCCAAATTTCTCACATTAAGTTTTCGTTTTGATTATTAATAATAAATTAAAAATATATAAAGTCTCATGCTGATTTGAATTGAGAGGGCTTGGTGATGGTGGGCCGAATTATGTCCTTCTCTTAGCCTACTTTATTTTTTGGAAGTTTTTTTTGGTTGCAAACAATTGGAACGAAAAAACAGGCCCCATGGACCTAGCCCATCACTCCCTAAGCCCATTCGTTTTTTTACAGCAGGTTAGTAATCAGACAAAACGGTATGGTGGATTGCTGTTTTCGTTTGGGCTTTTGGCTGCACATCCTTACTAACCCCATTCACTTTTTTTATGGATAGCCTATTGTTTTGCAAACAAAAACAGTATTGTGGACTCAACTACTTGGGCCTAGGGCCCAGATTCCTATTACACCCCTGGAGTTTGGCTTGCATCCCCATGACTCTTTCTAATTTCTTTGGTTTTAGATTGTGTTTTTAGTTTAATTTTATTTTTAATAATAAAATTAGTAATAAAATACATGATATAAACAATAAAAGGTAAATAAAATTTAAGACTTTTTTTATTATGATAAAAAAAAACTACAAAAACCAATAAAAATTTTAGGCTTTTTACTTGGTTTTGGAAATTAATTCCTAATTTTTCTATTACTTGAGACTTGTGATTCACCTTTGCTTGTTGAGTTGAGTCTTATTCAGGTTCATTGTTTGATATGCGGATATGTTTGAGTTTCCAATAATGATTTATTTTCACATCGATGATGCTTCGACACATATCCCGAATATGCGATCTCTGACTGCTTGTTTGTTGATGACAGCTCACGCTAAGTATTCAGGGTTTCTTTGCTTTGGTTGCGTTTTTTGCGTACATTATTGTTCGTTTGGTATTATGCTGCTTCCAATTTGTCTTTTTGCATTTTATTACTTTTTAGATATCATGAGAAGTAGGAAATAAAGAGCGTGCACTCGAAGTTGCTATTTAAAGACCTATAACAGGCATTCTGCACTAGTTTGTTGATTGTGTTTGTGCTTATTTTCACGGGTTAGCGATCGATGATGTCACTCAATTAGAATTGAGATAACAACGTCAATCTTTGCATGCTCCACTTAGGATTTTTACTTTCCTTCATCGACGATCGATGATGTCACTCAATTAGAATTGAGATGACAACGTCGATCTTTGCATGCTCCTCATAGAATTTTTACTTTCCTTTATTGACGATCGATGATGTCACTCAATTAGAATTAAGATAACAACGTCGATATTTACACGCTCCCCTTAGAACTTTTATTTTCCTTTATTGATGATCAATGATGTCACTCAATTAGAATTGAGACAATGACGTCGATCTTTGCATGCTCCCCTTAGGATTTTTATTTTCTTTTCTTGATGATCGATGATGTCACTCAATTAGAATTGAGATAACGACTTCGATCTTTGCATGTTCCCTTAGGGTTGTATGATTAGGATAGCTTTCAAGCTAGACATCGGGATAGTTATCTATGCATGCTAACATAGGGTAGATATTTCCCTTTCCACCCTTGACATAGGTCAATCTGTATGATAACACTAGGTTAGAGATATGCTAGTCTCCCTTAGATGTTTTCTTCCCATTTTTGCATAATTGCATTTAAAACAAAAACTTATCTTTCTTGTAAAACTTATAAAACATGCTAAGCATACAAAAAACATTTTCATGGTAAAAAATACCAACCAATTCATTTCTTTTCTCCATTCGGATTTTCTCTTCTAAGAACACGTTGATTCCTTTCCACTACAGTGCGTGAGTCTCCAATGGTCGAGCAACGGTGGAATGATTGAGTTTAGCATTGTTCATTTAAAAAATACAAAAAAATAAAACATGTGTGCCGAACTACAGCTGCTCTAATTCCTTAAAAGGGACACGTAGGCATTGGGATAGGGCCCGAACGAGCACAACTTTTATTTTCCCTACATTATTTTTTGTTTTATTTGCATGCATCCCCTCTTATTTTTATAGTTCTTAAGCATTATATTGAATACACCCTTTGATTAGAACAACAAGAGTTGATCCTGTAGAGTACTACAGACGTGAGGGGTGCTAATACCTTCCCCTCGTGTAATCAACTCCCTTACCCAATCTCTCGGTTGCAAGACCTTGATTTCCCCTTTAGGGTTTTTTTCGATGATTTTCCTTTCCCTTTTATATGGGATAAATAAATACTCGGTGGCGAATTCACTAATTTTACCGCTACAACTATTATTTACGTATTGTAGGTATTTGATGACCCAACATAATTAACACAAGATGCTTTGTATGATTTGCGAATCCATTGGGAAAAATGTTTCTTTGAGTTATAGAAAAATTAAGCTTTATCTGGTGAGTTATATAGAATTGTCTATATATATATATATATATATATATATATATATATATATATATATATATATATATATATATATATATATATATGAGTTTCTTGACTTTGGTGTTGTCTGCTAATGTTAATTTGTATTGTTATTATTTATTGTCAGCAAATGTGATTTTGGTGTTGTCTACTAAAGCTACAACTCATATTCTTGTGGATTGCATGTTGGTATTTCAAGTGTGGGAAAATATTTATAAATGATTGAATATTTTTGTAAAATTTCACTACTTTTGTTGTTGTAGTAGTCCATAGTGTGTAAACTTCCTTATAATTTTGTACACTTGTGTGTATCCTAGATTAGTACTTTTATAAATCAATTGTTCATTTTAAAGAATATATGTGCATCCTAGGTATTTGATGCAATGAAATTACCCTAACTGGTTAGAAAAATATGAAAATAGAGACCTAAATATGGTCTGTGTGATGTGTGAAAAATATGAAAAATAGCGACCTAAATGTGGTATGTGTGATGTTGGAAAAACATGAAAAATTAGGTACCAAAAAAAATTACAGGGAATCCACCTCGTTTCCGCTAAAAAATAGCAAATATATTACATCGGGCCTGTTGTACCCCAAAATTTGCCCTCCCATTTCCTCAACATTTTCTCATCACAAGACCTTTGAAGATCAAGATCCAGTTAGGGTTTCCTCTGCTCAAGACTTCTCCTTGCACTGTGGACTCAAATTAGGGTTTGTGTTTGCCCAAGGATGTTTTGACCTAAAATGCCTAAGATGACTTTCATGCTTCATGTTGGACTCCCAAGTTTACCCATGCCAAGTTTCAAGTCTTGATTCCAAGTTTTTGCCCAGTCAATTGGACAGTTGACCTAGAAATCAGCTGTATTGGGAAAAAGTCAACTGTGGCCAATTGACAGTCAAACCTCATGATTTTTGACCCACATCAACATATTGAACTCATATGGACCATTTGATCAAGTTTGGATCACAATTCCACAAGAAATTTGATCAGATCACCAAAAGGGCAAAATGGTCATTTTTAGGGTTTTGACTGCACAAAGGCAATTTTTGACTGTTTGACCTAGCCAATGGCAAACCAAGCTCACATATGGACTCAAGGACCCCATGGAATTATCTTGACATGTTCATCAAGTTCAAAAGATCCCAAGTACACAAGATTGACAGTTGAATTTCCCAGTCAATTGACCAATTTTGACTGTACACTGAAAAGTCAAACTTTGACTTTTTGGTCAAAATCAAGAGTCAAGATTCATTTTTCATAAAAACATGCCAAATCATGAAACTTGTTCACCAAGAAATCACAAAATGCAAATTAGGGTTAGAAAATGGAATTTTTCATAACTTAGAATTTTTCTAAGTTATGAAAAACCCTAATTTTTTCCCAACTTTGCCCCACCTTTTCACCAAGATCCATTTGGATTCAAACAAAAGTCAAAACATGAAAGTTGTAGCTTGTTGCATAATATACAACTTTGATTCACAAAGTTTTCTCATTTGAAGCTCGTATCTCAAGTTACAATTTTTTGAATAAGGGCACTAAACCATTTTTAACTTAGTGAAATTTTAACCTATTTTGACAAGGTTTTCTACCCCACTTCAAGGCCACTTTTCATGCCCTTCCACTTGGAATTTTAATTTTCATTTTAAAGATGGATTGTAGTACACATTCCAAGCTTTCCAAAATGTCCAAAAACTCATCAAACAACCTCATAACTTGAGAGATTCGAATTTCACAAGTAGGCAAAAATTCACTTTTGTTCTTCATCAAAACATGTTCATAACTTTGCAAATTTGAACTCAGCTTGCTTTATGCTTGATTACAGGTCCTTGAACCATTCCATACTCAATAATTTAATGCATATTCAATGTGTTAAGACCATGTTCTTTGTGTTCTAACATTGCATAGTGGATTAATCCTAAACTAGATAAAGTGAACTTTCCATTTTTGAAAAGATTAACTTTATGTCCAATTGCAAATCAAGAAGGTACAAGCAAAATCCTTTTGGCACAAGATTATGGGCAAATTGCTCTGATCAAGAGAGGCTTATGCAGCAGGATTAGAGGCCCCTACTGACCTAAAACACAAAGTGACCATTGCTTGCTTCATTTTCAAGTAACATTGCATAACTTGTGCCAACTCTCTCCTCAGCTTACAAACACAAGAAAGAAGTTATCAAACACATTACACATAACATATCCAAGCTAACACACGAGTCCTTAACCTCTCAAGCA